GCATGTATCAGTACTTCATTATTTTTACTACTGAATAATATTCCATTGTGTATACCACAATTTACTTATATATTTATCAGTTGATGGACATTTGTGTTGTTTTCACTTTTGGGCCATTATCAATAATGCTGCTATGAACTTTCATGTACAAGTTTTTGTGTGGATATATGTTTTTATTTCTCTTGGGTATATACCTGGGAGTGGAATTGCTGAATCATAGGATAACTCTATGTTCAACATTTTGAGGAACTACCAAACAATTTTCCAAAGTGACTGCACCACTTTACATTCCCATTAGCAATATATGAGGGCTCCAATTTGCCCACCTTCTTGCTGACACATGTTATCATCTGTCTTTTTTATTATAGCCCTCCTAGTGGGGGTGATGTGGTATCTCATTGTGGTTTTGATTTGCATTTCCCTGATGGCTAATGCTAGAACCTTTTCATGTGCTTATTGAGCATTTGTATATCTTCTTTGGACAAATGTCTATTAGATCCTTTGTACGTTTTTAAATTGGGTATCTGTCTTTTTATTATAGCATTGCAAGAATTCTTTATATTTTAGACACAAATTCTTTATCAGATATACGATGTATAAATATTTTTATCCCTTTCTTCAGGTTATCTTTTCACTTTCTTGATGGTGTCCTTTGAAGCACAAATTTTTAAATTTTGTTGAAGTCCAATTTATCTATTTTTTCTTCTGTTGCTTGTGCTTTTTCGTTTGTTGGTGTTGTATCTAAGAAGGCTTTGCCTAACCCAAAGTTATGAAGATTTACTCCTCTGTTTTCTTCTAAGAGTTTTATAGGTTTAGCTCTTACATTTAGGTCTATGAGCTATTTGGCGTTAAATTGCACTAGGCTCATTGCAAAATAAAAATTTGCTGCTCCTTTTGAAAACATTATTAGAATTTCAAGATGGTGACAGCTGAGCATTCAACCAAGTTCAGAGCCCTTCTGAGCATGGAGCCCTGTGCACAGGTTTTACACCCATGAAGCCGGCCTTGAACAGAGTTCTTCTAAATTTGAGAATTTCTGGATTACATCTGCCATACAGTACCAGCATGTAATCAGAATTACACTTCTGCAGATGCCTCCTAAGCAACTGAATTTATACTATGATCTATTGATCAGAGGGATGCTACCCTCTGAAATGAGTGTGCAGCTAGGTGTCTGTAATATTAAATCTCTTTGTTTGAATCTTTGGAGCTGTGGTGCGATGAGCTGGACTGCGATGTTGCCCTTGTTTGGAAGGACCCTTGTTGATTGTGCAGTCACGCAGCTTCATATTTCATGAGAGCAACAATAAAACGCCATGGGTGATGCATTGCTTCTTGTGTGGCAAGCACTGTTTGTCCAAAGGCATATGAGAAACCTTCTGACACACATGGCCCTCAAGCTCAGGACCCTGCAAGTCAGATTAACTGTGACCGCAGAGTGCACGGGTTGTTATGAGTAACTCTGGGAGAAAGCCACATTTGTTTAAAGTGGGCACTGAGTTGATTCTGAATGCATTTTAAGACATCTGTGACGACAAGATCGCTGTTTTAATAGCCTCGTTGCCTGCCTGAAGCTTTTGCATGCATGACTGTGTCTGCTAGGAAACAGAAAATGCTTGGGTTCCCAATTTAGAATTCCTTCTTCTATGGGTTCAAAGATGTTGGGCTTCCACATCTCAGCAGGCCCCTGTTTTTGTTTCTTTGGGCCCTCGGAGGACTAGAGCTCTGTGTCACTTTGCTCTCGGAGCACTTTTGTTTTTCTGTGAAGAATATTCTTGATAAGTAGCATCTTTGGAATCTCTAAGAAAATGAGAAAGTAAGCACAAATGAACACAAGCTCTGAAGAACTCTCCACCCCCCATATCTTCCTGGCTTTGAATTTTATTTTTGTCTTTTCATGCTTTGTCAAGGTATAATTTATATGCAGTAAAATGCACCAATTTTAAAATGTACAGCTTGATGAATTTTGAGAAACACACACACCCACTGCCCGGTTTAAGATATAAAACAGCTCCATCCCCCCCAGAAAGTTTCCTCATGCTTTCTTCCAGTTAGCTCCCCTGCCCAGACGCAACCACCATTCTGATCTCCATCCACGTAGATTAGTGTTGCCTGTGTTTGCAAGCCATATAAATGGAATCATACTATGTATTCTAATGTGCCTTTCATTTAATGCATGATTTTGAGATTTTTCCATGTTCTTGTGAGCATTGTTAGTTTGTTCCTTTATTACTGAGTAGTTTTCCATTGTACGAACATACCACAATTTGTTTATCTATTCTCCTGCTGATGGATATTGGGGTACTTTCCAGTCTTTGGCTGTTGCAAATAAAGCTTCTATGAACGTTCTTGTACAAATCTTTTCGTGGACATATGTATTAATTTCTCTTGGGTATAAAGCTAGGAGTGGAATTGCTGGGTCATAGGAAAGCTGTTTGTTTAACTTGAACTGCAAAAAGGTTTTCCATCAATGTACAAGAGTTCCAATTGCTTTATATCCTCTTGATGATTTGGTCTTACTTGTCTTTGTAGTTTTAGTCTTACTTGTGGGTACATAATTGTGTTTCATTATGTTTTTTTCTTAAAATCAATTTTATTGGAGTATAATTAGCATTCAATAAAATATACATTTTAACTGTACAAGTTGATGAGATTTGATGTACATGTGTATATATACATGGGTATATACACACACACATTGACATAAACACACACACATACACACACACACACCCATGTAACCACCCCAACAATCAAGATATCAAATATTTCCGACATCACAAAGAGTCTCTTCAAGTCCCTTTCCAGTCAGTGCCATCTCCCTTATATCAGGCAACCACTGATCTACTTTCTGACCCTATAGCTTAGCTTTGCTCGTTCTAGAATTTCTTATAATGGGAATCATATGGTATGTGCACTTTTTCTGTCTAGCTTCTTTTGCTCAAATATTTTATTTTTGAGATTCATGCATGTTCTTGTGTATATCAGTAGTTTGTTTCTTTTTATTGTTGAGTCATATTCCATTGTATGGACATATCACAACGTTTTATCTATTCATCTGTTGATGAACATTTGAGTTGTTTCCAGTTTTTGGCTATTATGAATATAGCTACTATAAGCACTGTGTACAATTCTTTTGGAGGCATGTGTTTTCATTTCTCTTGGGTAAATATTGAGAAGTAAAATGGCCAGATCATATGATAAGTGTATGTTTAGTTTTATAAGAAATTACCATACAGTTCCCTAAAGGGTTGTCACATTTTACACTCCCATCAGCAAGGTATAAGAGCTCCAGTTATTCTACATTCTTGCTAATATTTGTTATTCATTCTGTAATCATACAATATGTTTCAATTCTAGTAGGCTTGTAGTGGTACCTCATTGTGGTTTAATTTGTATTTCCCTGATGACTAATGATGATAAATATCTTATTATGTGCTTGTCAGTCATTCATATATCTTCCTTTGTAAAATTTCCAAATCTTTTGCCAATTTTTTAAAATTGGATAGTTTGTCATCTTATTTTTGAGTTGTAAGAACTCTATATATTCTGTGAATAAGTCGTTTGTCACACGTAAGTATTATGGATATTTTCTCCTAATCTATGTCTTGGTTTTTGTTTCTTAATAATATCTTTCAAAGAACAGGGGTTTATAATTTTGATGGAGTCCAATTTTTAATATTTTTATCTATGCTTATTGCTTTTTATATTCTAAGAAATCTGTCTACCACAAGATTGCATATTTTCTTCAAAACGTTTTATAGTTCTAACATTTACATTTAGGTCTATAATTCTATTTTGATCTCTCTCTATATATGTATATATGTATATTCTATTTTAATTGGTGTATTCTATGTATAAATTCTATTCTATTTTGGTATATATATATACATGGGATGAAGTGGGACAGTTTCATTTTTTAAAAAAACATTGTTCCAACATCATCTATTGAAATTCTATTCTTGCCCATTGAATTACTTTTTGACCTTTTGTTGACAATCAATTGACTATATTATGTGTGTGTCTATTTGGGGATTCTCTATTCTGATTCATTGTTTTATATGTCTGTCTTTATGCAGTATCACCCTGTCTTGATTACTGTAGCTTTATAGTAAATCTTTAAATCAGGTAATATCAGCCCTCTAATTTTGTTCTTCTTGTTCAAAATGTCTTGGATAATCTGGGCTCTTTGCATTTCTATAAAATTTTAGAATAAGTTTGTCAATTTCTTCAAGAAATGATGCTAGAATTTTGATTGGGATTGCACTGAACTTATAGATTGATTTATTCATGTCTTATTTCTTTGCTCAGTAATATTTTTAAATTTTCAGTTTTTAGGTTGTGCGTATATTTTGTTACATTTATCTCTGAATGCCTTATGTATTTTGATTAAATTCTAAACTGTGTTGTTTTCCTATTTCATTTTCCAATTCTTCACTGACAGCCAATAGAAATACAATTGATTTTGTATATTGACTTTGCAACTTCAGATTTTGCTAAATCCACTTACAGTTCTAGTAGTTTTTTTGGGTAGATTTCTGGATTGTCTTCCTATGTAATTAATACACGATTATGTTTTCTGGAAATAAATTTAGTCTTTCTTCTTTGTTTCCAGTGTGTTTGCCCTTTATTTATTTATTTATTTTTGCTTATCTTGTAGTACTGTCTAGGACCTCTTATTGAATTTCACTAGGCCTTTACTATGAGTTTCCTTGTTGAACACCTTTTCACATGTTTATTGACCATTTGAGTATTTTATTTTGAGAATTGCTGTTCATATCTTTTTTCCCCATTCATTATTTGATTGTTTTTTTCATTATTCATTTATAGGAGTTTAAAAAATATATATGTGAATACAAGTCCTTCGTTAGATATATGTTTTGTAAACATTTCCCTAGTCTGTGGCTTGCCTTTTTCACTTCAGCAATGGTGTTTTTTCATGAGCAGAAGTTTTTTTTTTTAATTTGATGAAGTCAAATATATCAAATTTTATGTCCTAGGAAATGTTTGCCTACCCCAAAGTCAGAAAGATATTCTGTTATGTTTTCTTCTAGAAGCTTTTAAGTATTAGCTTTTAAAATCAGATCTATGATTCTTTATTTTTAAAAATGATTTGTATATATGTATAGTTTCTTTAATTAATATAACATTCAAATGCCTTGTTACCAATTTTCATGAGTGAATTTGAAAAAGTTGAAAAATGTATAATTAGTAGTGTTGATGATTGGGTAGGGAAAGAAACAGTTATATTGCTGGAGGTACAAATGCATGCAGTCTTTTGGTGTGGGTAGGGGAGAAATTCTGCAGTAGGAATCACAAGCCTTAAAAATGTTAATTCCTGAGACCCCATCCATATAGGTCCACATCCACAAATTTATTCTGTGGAAATAATCCTGGATGTGTGCCAAAATTTACCTTCAAGGATGTGTTATCTCAGCCTTTTTTATAAGGGCAAGGAAAGACTAGAAACAGTCTATAACAGTGAATTGTTTAAATTACCATATACCAGTATTATGGAACACTGTTTAACCATTGATCATAATGTTGTAGATGGTGTTCATATACATTTTTAAGTGCAAGACAAATTCTAAAACTGAGCTTATAAATTGATTGCCTTTTAATCTGTGTGCACACACATAAATGCCTACATTTTTACCCCAGGATTTTGTGCTTACCTGTGTTTCTAAAGTTCTTGCAATGTACATGTATTCCAGGAAAAAAATTTATTTAAAATTTTGACTTTCGAAGAATAGAGCGTGTGAGGGAAGGGGAAGCATTGAGGTAAATGATAACTGGAAGTGAATGTGTTACACTGAGAACTTTCATATCATGCTATAAAATGTTTCTAAATTGCCATCTGTTTACTGCTTTTATACATTTTTTTGTTGTGGTAACATTGGTTTATAATATTATATAAATTTCAGGTGTATATCATTAATATTTCGATTTCTGTGTAGACTACATCATGTTCACCAACCAAAGACTAATTACCATCCATCACCACACACATGTGCCCTGTCACCGCTTTTGCCCTCCTCCCTCCGCCTTTCCCCTCTGGTAACCACCAATCTAATCTCTGTATCTATGTCTCTGTTTGTTGTTCTTGTTGTTTTTATCTTCTAATCTGTTCCTTTGATTTCATGTCTTTATTCTTCTGTATGGCTAAGAAAAGGGGCAGCTAGTCCCCTGCCTATGAATTGAAAGCATGACAGAGAAGTGCCACCATACAAAACATTTCTCTTACTGCCTAGTGTTCTATCATCGGAGCTACAGTGCCTTGGGTCATTTATAATTCTGGAAGATTTATATCTCCATTTAAATTCCCAGTGGATGGAGATAGAAGTAGATGTAAACAAGGAAGACTTATCTGATCTTGGGAAGGAGGTATGCAGATGCAAAGGAGCACCAGTAGGTGAAGCCGTAGATGGAGTTGGGGATAAAACCATGGTGTACTCCCTGGCATTTTGCCAAGGTTGATTCAGGTGTGGTGCGAGGGTGACTCTTCTAGAAGACTCTACCTAGGTCTTTTTGAAGTGGTTCTGGCCTATGTCAAGCTTATGGCTTGTGGGAAAGAGTAATTAGAACATGCAAAGGCTTGGTCAACCTTTAATGAACTCCCGCCCACCCAGTACTTAGGCTTCAGGGCCCTGAGGGTGCACATTGACCTTCACTGTGCAAAGAACCCAGCACGAGAGCCCTGGGTCCCAGGAGCTGGTGTCTAGAGCAGCAGTCGTGCAGCTAAAGGGAGTATCAAGAAGGTGGTTTAATCAGTGTACATGTGTATAATACCAGCCGAACTCAGAAGGTCAAACGGTGGAGTTCACCTTGCTAAGCTTCATCTTTCAAATACTCTGCGTTACAGCTTTTCAGCAAAAAAATTCACATAGATGAAATGTACGTTTTGGGTCAAATTGTCCAAATGAGCATTGTATTGGTTTCCTAGGGCTGCCAAAACGAACCACAAACTGCGTTGTTTGAAACAACAGAAATTTATTATTCTCAATTCTGGAGGTCAGAAGTCCAAAATCAAAGTGTCAGCAGAGCATGCTCCCTCTGAAGGCTCTAGGGGCGAATTCTTCCTTGCCTCTTCCTAGCTTCTGGTGGCTCCCAGCAATCCTTGCTCTTCCTTGCCTTGTAGCTGCATCATTCCAATCTTTGCCTCCATTTTCACATGGCCTTCTTCCCTATGTGTGTCTGTATGTTTCCTCTCCTCTTTTCCTAAGGACACCAGTCATTGGATTTAGGGCCCACTCTAATCCAATGTAATTATGTTAACTAATTACATCTACAAAGACCCTATTTCCAAGTACAGTTACATTTACAGGTACCAGGGGCTAGTATTGGACCATATTTTTTGGGAGGACACAATTCAACCCACTGTAAGCATATACACTAGAAAAATCACTGTCTAAATATTCCTCCTTGGCTGCTATATTGTACTGTTAAGCTGAAAGCCATTCCTCTTTCTTGCATTTCTGACCCCACGTCTACCGTGTCTTTTGTTCATAAAGTGACTCTGAGAAACTTCCTAAGTCCTTCTCTGGAACTCGTAATGGAGATAGTTAGTGGGTTTCTATATTCATAGAAACAGAATGTTCAACTTTAGCTCCCGAGAGAGTTAGAATGCTGGCAACGTTTGGAGGGAAAGCGGATGTGAGGGAATGGCAGGGAGGCTAAGGGATGATGAGGCCCCTGGACATGGAGCTGAGCTGGGCAGAGATCAGGGGCGACCATCTTGAAGATGAAGGTACAGAGAGCATTGAAGAACCAGAGATTAAGCCCAAGCAAACAGAAATGTGGCAAGTCTGGCCCAGCCGGAAGCAGGGGTAGATTTCCAGGAATATGGAAAATGGGGCTCATCTCGGCAGACACCCAAAGTGGAAGGGAACTTATCTACACCCAGTCTGTCAGCCAGACCTCTCAGCTCCATAGCTCCATGTGCCAGATCTGTCCAGTGTCTCCCCATTTCCTCCATTAAAACCCTATTCCAGCCCCCATCATCTCTCTCCTAGACAACCAATTCCTCTATCTTCTCTTTTCACCCCAAACCGCTCTCCACAGAGCAACTAAATTATCTTTTTAAAACATAAACCACAAGTCACTATATGATCTGGCCCTTGCCCATCCGTCCTATGTCATTACACTCCAGCTACTCTGCATTCTTTATGTTCTTTTAGCATACCAAGCTCCTTACCATCTCACAACCTTTGCGCCTGCGGTTCCCACTGCCTGGAACTCTTTGCCCCCACTTATCAATGTCTGCTTCTTGGCCTCTTCTCCTTGGAATAACCTTCTATGATCCTTCAGTCTAAAGTGGTGCCTCTCCTTCACTCTCTGTCCATAATCCAATTTATTTTATTTTATTTATCACTTATCACTACCTGAAATTATTAAGTTTGTTTGTTTCAGTGGTTCTCAACCTGGAGTGATTTTGCCTCGTAGGTACATTTGGCAATGTCTGGAGATGTTTTGAGTTGTCACAATTTGGGAGTAGGGGTGGAGTGCTACCGCATCCAGTGGGTGGAGGCCAGGGATGTTGGTAAACATCCTACAATGCACAGGACAGCCCTCAAAACAAAGATTTATCTGGCCCCAAATGTCGATAGTGCCAAGGTTGAGAAACTCTGATTTATTTGTTGCTTTCCTATTCTCTCTCTACACTTAATTTCCTCTTCAAATGTATATTCCAAGAAAGCAAAGACCTATTCTGGCTTGTGTTTTACTCACTGCCGTATCTCTGGTGCCCACAACAATGATTAGTGCTCAAAAAATCATTGAGGGATAAATGAATGAATGAATGAATGGCTTCAAGCCCTGGATTTACCTTTTACTAGCTTTTTGAGCCTGGGAACATTGCTTAACTGCTCCAAGCTTTGGTTGCCTCATCTGTGAAATAGGAATCATAAAATTGCCTAATTTATTAGAGTTATTGTGCTGACTGAATGAGAAAAATGCTTTTAAGACATTGAACAGCGAACTTGGTGAGTAACAAGTCATCAGTTCACAGTAGCTCATACTGCTGTCACATGCCTCTCACCCTAAACCTTTGCTTCCATGTCCTTTCTCCTTTTCCATGTTCAAAAAAGAAAAAGTTCTTCTCCTAGCCACCTTGGCTTGCAATTGCCATCTCAGCTTTGCACTCCCTTTGCCTTACCTCTGTAGCCATGGCAAAATTCTCTTTTCTGCTCAAATGCACACTTCACGGAGACAAGGACAGAGAATATTCTTCCTGCTGTAAACTGTAACACCTTCTTAGAGCACACTCACACAAGAGACACTCACTAAACATATTTCTAAGTGAATTAGGCCACTGTTGACCTGGTTAAGCCCCAGTCTTGGGCAGGATCTGTGTCCCTGGGTCTCAGGGGTCAGACTGTGACCTTGCCCTTCCCCCCAGGGTACTTTCCTGCCCCTCCCCCTGGAGGGGATAGAGAGATTTTTCTTTACCTAATTTTTTTCCAGATTACTAAAATAATTTATTTTTATGTATTAATTTGGAGAAGACTGATAGCTGTACAAAATTAAGTCTTTTCATCCAGAAATAGAGTATGGTTCTTCATTTATTCAAGTCTTCTTTAGTATCTTTTAGCAAAATTTTATAGTCCATTCACATACATGTATATTGTTAATGCAAATTTCTTACTAAATTGATTCATAGCTCTTTTATAGTTTTTGTGGCAATTGCAAAGAGGATTTTCATTTTTGCTGTTGTTGTTGGTTTAAAAGTAAACTATTGATATTTAAACATAGTTTTGCTATATCTAAACATTTGAATTAAATCCTTTAATAGTTCTAAAAATAACATTAGTGTTATATTGTCAAGTTTATAATTTCTATTTTTAACTTTTCTTTGATCCAGTAATTGTTTAGAAGAACATTGTTGTTTCTTTTTATTTTTAATTTTCAGATGTGAGAAGCTTGTGTTTTGTTTTTGTTTTTTATTATTTTACAATTGTCTTTTTAAAAATACTTATTTTACTTCGTAAGTTTATGATGAGCTGGCCTTTTTATTTTGGAATAAGTTTAGATTTACAGAAAAGTTGCAAGGATTTTACAGAGAATCCCTGTATATGCGGCACCCAGTTTCCATTCCTTCTGATGGTATCTTTTCACATTACTGTTGTTTGATTCTCTTGTTCATCCTCCTGGTGAGCCAAACCTTTCAAAGAGACCTAGTCACTAAAAAGTAAATTTTTAATTTGATATAAATAAAGAATATTTTATATGCAAACAACAAGAAAGAAAGATGTCTAGAGAGGCAGTAGAAGTAAAGCCACATTGCTGTTTCCAGGATTGTCACCTAATTTGAGAGGCCCAGTGCAAAATGAAAATGTATACCCCCTTGTTCAAGAGTTGTTAAGAATTTCTAGATGGTGACAGCAGAGTATTAAACTAATTGTGGGACCCTTTGCAGTGCAAAGCCCTGGTGACTGCCCAGGTTGTACACCCATGAAGCCAGCCCTTGCTGTTCTTACCAATATTTCAACTTCCTCCATGATCCAAATACCTAGTAAGTTAAGGGAAAGTCTTTTGCATGACCAGGCCCAATCTACTCTTATGGGAGTTTTTCTAGAACAACGCTCAAAGTTACAAGCTTTGTAGCTTGCCCACCTTCTAAATCTCAGTTTAAAAGGCTTTGAGGTGAGGACAATGGTATTAGCTACCCTGAAATGGCAGCGAAGCTAATTCTAAAATAACATCCACGTTAGCTCACACAGGCTGATATTTTCTTTGCTGAAGATCAGGCAAATGGAGTGTTTGTTTTGAGTGCCTTCCAATAATACTTACAAGTAGCCAAGAATGCTTGGGCTCTTGGAAATCGTACCTTATACCCAGAGGCTCTTGGTGAATATATTTTTTTAACCAGATTTACTCATTTAACTTGTCCAAATGGGGCACTTTCACAAGGGAACCCATCAGCCAGTCATTTCTGATGAAATCACAAAAGTACCCATGAGGAAATGAACTATGAAAGCTCTTGGTAAACTGGGGTTTTGAAAGTATATGGGAAATACACAAGTGTAAATTGTTTTAGCCTCACTGTTTATTTATCAGCCTTTAGCAGCATTGTATTTTGAAATTTGAGGGCACAATGTCAACTTGTGCCATTGATTTAACTGAGCTAGCCAGATAGCTGCACATCCAAATCCATCTACACACCTCCGTTGAGGCACACCCTCCCTTCTTCACTCGTGTCCTATTTCTCATGTCAAAGAAGGTATCCTGGATCTGGGGCTGTTTTCTCCTGTTTCTACAACACAGACACTGGCTCCTCTATGGAACAAAATCCCATCAGTTAGGAGAGATACACCCGTGTCTCTCTCTCCTGTCTCTTTTGCTCACAGTGGTGCCCCACTGGCTTCTGGGAACTGACTCCCAATGCAAGCAAATGGGCAGATGACCACTGAGAATGACAGTGGGAGAGCCTTTGTTCTACCCTCATTCCCTTCCCTGTGTGTCTGTGCTGTGTGCAACTGTTGTGCAGACCTGATGCTTTACATCCTCCACCCTTGGACCTTAGTTCCTAGGATGCAAAGAGGTCACTCACTCAGAGTTTTGGGCTGTGTTTTAGTGGATTAGAGTTGCTAGAATTCTGCAAGAGATTTGAGGCAAGAGACTGCTTAGGAGACCATATCAGCATTCTATGGAGAGGATATGAGTATAAATTAAATATATATATTTATAATTAAATGTATATAATTATATAGCTAAATATATATAATTGTATATATAACTAAATATATAAATACATTTAGAATATAAATTATATATACTTATAACTAATATATGTTATATATAAATACCCACACCCATATATATGAACAAACACTACAATGGACATCATGCCCTCAAATTTCAAACTACAGTGCTGCTGAAGGTTGATAAATAGTCATGGTCTCCAATCCACCTTCTCCAAGGGTGGCTAATACTCTGACTTCTAGCACCATAGATTAGCTTTCCCCATTTTTGTACTTTATATAAATGGAATCATATGGTATGTACTCTCTTGTGTCTGGTTCTTTTGCTTATCACTATATTTGTGAGTTCATCCACAATGTTGCATTCATCTGTAGTCTATTGTTTCCTGTTGCTCTGCCACATTTTCTTCTATGTATGTACCACAATCTGCCCATTCTACTGTTGATGTACACTAGAGTTCTTTCCACTGGCCAGGTTTGAGGTAGGAAATTTTCCTGCTTATGATTGGACGGGGGGTGTTCCCTTTTACCACGGGGATATATCCTATTGGAGTTCCAGCTTTGTAGGAAGGAATGTCTTATTCAACTTGCCACCTTGGGCAGACCCTGGAATTTGCATTTCATCCCCTGAGTCCTATGAGGCCTGGAAAACTAGAATTTAGATTCACTGGGTTCAACAAATATCTTCCAGGCTAACACTGACTGTAGGGCTGCAATGTCCCCTCTGATTATTTTGAGACCTAAGTGTTTCTTACTTTCTTGTCTACCCAAGCATATCTTTAATAGTTTTAAAATATGTTATCCAAAATTCCTAGTTGTTTTCCATGGAAGGTTGCCTGTATATTTATTCTACCTTACTGTAAGAAACATACGTAAATATGTACTTTGAAAATGCCCCTTGGTTTGTGAGACCAATGTGTCTGTCATAAAACTTATAAAAAAACGAGGTACACTAATATTTCTTTTCTCCATGTTCTTTCTCAACTTATATAAGGACACCAAAGAGATTATAATCTTTTACTAAAATTGTTTTCCTCTTCTTCTGGTTTTGTTTGTGGAGAGTAAACAAGTTCATTTCAAAGGTTTAGACTTGTCTCTTTTCAATACTTCCTTCACAAATTATTTTGGGTGATTCAGGCAAAAAACTACTTTTGAGGAGCTGCTTTTTACACAGTTTTGAGGTAGGCCAAAGATGGCAGCATAAGAGACAGGAATAAAAGGAAATGTCTTTTATACAAAGAGAAATATGATGGTGGCTGTTCAGGAGGCCCAGAGAAAGTGCTCTGCAAGTTCAGAGGAGGAGTGGATCTTTGGACACCTTTTGAATGGATTAGTAAAGTCTCAGTGTAGGAGGAAGATCTGAGCTTGGTCTTGAAGGATGGGTGGTGATGAACTCTTCTCATGGAGGAGACATACTCACTGCTTGAGCTCAGACGTGTAGTTGAGTTGTCTGTAAGGACACATTCCTAGATTTAGAGCTGTGATATCCAACATCCCAGCCGCTGACCCCATGTGGCTGCAGAGCCCTTGACATGTGGCTAGTGCAACTGACAAATGGATTTTAATTTTATGTAATTATAATGAAGTTAAATTTAGACTTTACTGAAAAAAACTGATACTATGCTCAGTGTCCAAAAAACTTTTAAATATGTTTGGTACAACTTGGGTATGTGAATCTATTTTTTCAACTGTATATTTTATGAAATCTAAATCCAGGTCAAGTATTTCTAATGAAAATTTATTGTCTAAATTGAGATATGCTATAACAATGTAAAATATCATATTAATAATTATTTTTACTTTGATTGCATGTTGAAATGTTACTGTTTGGATATTTGGGTTAGATAAAATGTCCAGTTATAGTCAATTTCACCTGTCTTTTTACTTCTTTAGTCTGACTAATAAAACATTTAAAATTACCTATGTGGCTTGCATCACGTTTCCATTGGACAGTGCTACTCTAGACAGAAGAAGGTTGGAGCATAAAGTGAGAGTGTCTTGGGAACTTTAGCAAGTTAACTTCTCTGAGACCATTTTATGATCTCCTACAGTTCTTACCTCATACAATTATTGAGAGGGCAAATTAGATTTGCATGGAAAGCCCATATAAACACAATAATAACTGGCTCAATAACTGGGGGTCATTATTCTTATATTTAAATAGATAAGAAGAGAACCAAGTTCTGCAGAAAAAGGGAAAACAGTAAGACTGCCTGATTTTATAAAATATGTAATGACATGGGTAGTTATAAGGATCAGAAACCTAATGATCAGTGAGTAACGAGTGATGTGTGGTGGATCGGCAAAAAGGATTGAGAAAGCTGAAAGAAGATGGCAGGTGAGCAACGAAAGTGGTGGAATTGCAGGATTGTTCTAAGTTTGGAGCCAGTTTTGACTTTGCCATGAATACACTGGGTGAAGGTGGGAAAGCCAGCTCACCTGCCATGCTTGAACATCTGATGAAATATTGAAGAAAATGAACAGTGTATACAAAGAGGAATAGACTTTTCAAAGAAGGGATAGGCAAATTCTTTAGCTTTGCAGTTGAATTTACTCGGCAGTTACTGGAGATAAGGAAAAGAAGGAGGTTTTGGCTGAGATTTGTTAGTTTTTATAAACAGGTAGGAACATCCTGTGCCTTTTTCCTTCTGATTATAGTTTATGAATAATTGTTTGGGTGTTAGGACACCTGTCTCTTTGCCTTTTAATATATTGTTATGTGTACTACTTGTTTATCTGGGATTTAGTTTCAGTTTTTATGTCTATGTGCTTTAGACCCTCAGTAAAGTTAATCACATGAGCTTAAAATGCTGAACAAGAAAAGTTCAGCAAGAAACATAATCCCTGATTACCTGGAGGTAAAGCCATAACTTGGTAAATATTCCTCTTTGGGGGAGAGTTCCACCGTGGTCTGTCTTCGACCACAGAGAGGACATGCTTTGTATATCTCAAGGTGGAATTCATTTTACATTTAAACAATGTACAAATGAGGATGAGATTTAGCTGCATGTATCAGAAAACTCAAAATAATGATAGCTTATTTAAAGGAGGCTGGGATGTTAGCTCCACGTTTACCTGGGACCCAGTTTCCTTCAATCTCCCTCCTCCATCTTCCCACACATGTCTCTTCTCAACGGCACTTCATGGTCTAAGATGACTGCTTCTGTGGTAGCATCATGGGGCCCCATCACAGGCAGGGTAGGAAGTGGCAGTATTGGTGGGTTTCTGTGAAGGCTCTTTAAAGAGCCTAGCTAGGTAGGAGAACACAGGTCCAGAGCCCAAGACCTTGGCAAGAGTTATACATGTGAGGAGGAATGTGAGCTCTGATCCTAGGCTGAGAGCTGTTTTCTCTCTGTCTTGTTCCTACTGCCTGCTGGTAGAAGTATCTGTTTTCTAAGGGGTAGAGAGCATGGCTAAGTAGGAGGCAGACAGTAGTCTAATAATAATAGCTAACATTTGTATATACTTCCTGCATTCCAGGCACTGTTTTAAACATTTTATATATACTAACATTTAATCTTCACAAAAGTCCTATGAGGTAGGTTACACATAGGAAAACTGAGGCATAGAGGGGTTAAGTAACTTGTCCAAAGTCACTCAGCTGTAAGGAGTGGAGGTGGGATTTGAACGAAGGCAGTCTGGCTACAAAGGCCATGTCCTTATCACTCTGCTATACTGTCCCTCACTTCCTTACAGCGACTCACAGGTCACTAATAGTCTGTAGGAGCACTTTGCCTCAACTCAGGTTTTAGCAGCAATGCTAGGATCAGGAAGCCCAAGAGAAAAATCAGGCAAAGATATGAATAATTAATTCCCAGAGGAGAAAATTAAAAAAAAAAAGAGAGAGAGAGAGATGATGATGATGATGATGATGATGATGATGATGATGATGGTGATGTTGATGATTATATGAAGAAATCTTCAAGCTCATTTGTTACTAGAGAAATGCAAATTAAAACAACAACGAGATGTCACTTTGAATTCAACATATTGGCAAAAGTTAAAAAGCTGAAAAACGTCAAGTGTTGGTGAGGACATGGAGATCTGGGACTCTTCATGCAATATCAGCGTATAAACTGGTGCAGCCATTCTGGAAGCCGGTCTTGTAATATGTCACATTAAAGTACCTTACTCTCTGACCCAGCACTTCTGCTCCTGAGTGTATATATCCCAGAGAAATTCTTACACAGGTCCATAAAGGGCAATGCAGGAGATGTTCATCACAGCATTTTGTGGCAGTGGGGAGTTATAGGCAATCAAGTGTGAATCACTGGGGGAATGAATAAGTTAAATGTAGTAGACGCACACTATGAAACATGGTGCAGTAGTTAGAAGCAACAAGGTGCATATATGTGCAGCAACATGGGTAGATGACTAAAAAAAAATGGTTGATTCCTTGTTCTTTTCTATTATTCATTAATTGAACTTGACCATTTGTTCCAAAAGGTTATTCCTTCAGGGAGTCTCTCAATTGCAGAACTTCTAATTCCTATGCTGATCTAGTGATCTTAGGGGCTGAAGAATTAAGGACCCAGTGAAAACAATGAACTCCGTGAAGTACACCAAAGGCCATTAAATATGCCACTCCTCCTGCTGGGAGTGTGCCCCCTGCTTCAACTGGTTAGTGCTCTTTCACCTCTGTCACCAACTCAACTGAACCTGCTCTGACTCCTGCCTGGGTCAATGCCCTTTTTCTTTGTCTGCACAACACCCCATACTCACCCCCATGGTAGGTGACCCTCATCATATCGTACCATCATTGCCTGTTTACTTTGATTTGCCTTTCCGCACTAGACTATGGGGTAAGGGCCATGTCTCAGTCTTCTTTCCCAGCTCCTTGCCCTGTGACTGGATCACAGTAAGTGGTCAATAGATGTTTTCTGCATGAATGCATGAATAAATGAATGAAAGATGAATAAATGAATGAATGAATGGCCTAGCTAGGGCCTTCCCATAAATCCACTCACATTGTTGCTCATGTTTCACTGGCCAGCTCCTAGTGACTTTGCAACGCCCAGGGACAAGAGAGGCTGGAAAATGAAAATATTTTGGCTGGACACATTGTCCTCCCCACAGGACAGTGGGATTCTGTAACTAAGGAAGCAAGGGAGAGTGAATAACCAACAATCCCTTCTACATAAATTAATAATGACGTCTTTCAGCTGAATCCCCTGAGCTCACACTCTGCCCACATAGGTGCATCCGTGGTCACATCCTTTCTCAGATCAACCACTGGTCAGCATTTGATGGGTTCAGGTCCTAGCCCAAAGTCAGATGTCTAGTCTACCTACAACTAGTCCTGCTCTGCCTGACCCAGATGGATTTTTCTATCTCCTCTGCTTCTACCACTCTGCTAGTTTATTTTCTGACGATGGAGCTTATCTCAAGGTGTTTGGTTGAGCACTGTCTGAATTAGTTGGCTTCCAAATGAAGGCCATGTTGTATTTAAAAATGGGTGACTCTGAACACTAAATACAGCTCAACTTGGTGGGATGCTCCCTCTGTGGGAGGCAAGCAGAGACAGACCCTGACAGAATGAAGTCAGTGGTTCTGACTTTGGAGCAGTGACATTTTCTAAGTTATGTGCACTCCTGGAGGCGCACATTCATTGAGTGGAAAGTAGTGTGGAATCAATATTTAAATGATGACTGTGCTTTCTCATGCCCTCTCTCCTGGAGCTCTTTCCCTCCTTCATCCCTCTCCATACCCCCCACCCACATCTTTTCCAGAGCACCTATTGTGGAATTCAAGGCAAACACGTTTGCGTGCTAGGTAACTCCTACCTGTCTCCCTACTCCCCCAACATCACCTTCCACTTTGCTCAGATGTCTTGTGGGTGTTGCAGTCCTGAACTGAATGCAGGAAGAGAGAAATCCACCAATGCCACCAAGGAGAGGCACATAAAATGCTGCGATCAGACAGTAGAAAGTTGGCTGCCCAGATTTTATGCTGGGACAGATTGTGAATTTCTCAAGAGTATGGCAGACAGGAAGGGAGAAATGGAAGAATATTCTCACATACTTTCAAGGGCCTAACTCCTACGTTAAAAAAACATTTCAATCAACCATGCGGTTAGTAGAAATACCTACGAGAGTCCAGCAAAGCACTAGCATAGGTCCAGCTCTTGCTGGTGCTGTGTGTTTTTATCTTCTGCTGTGTCACCATAGGATTTTAGTTAGAAAGTTGGGAGAAAATGCATTGTAGAGTCTTTGCCACACAAAATTGTAAATTTGAATCCCATCCTGGTATAGCCTTTATGGTTGATTTGGGTGAAGAAATTGCTGCTTTTCTAAGACTTGGGAGATCAGAATGTCATCGTAAATTTCATAAAAATTCAATCAATCAGTTTGGAACGAATTTTCAAACACAGCACGGTGGTGATGTTTTCTTTCTTGATTGAGTCATTAAAATGACAAAATCACTGCTGTATTCCTATTGTGTTCTTCCTTGACCAGAGCTGAAATAAATTTGGAAAGTGTTTTCAGAGGGTTGAGAAGGAGGAAACACAAGGATGCCATTACTACACCGTACAAATAAAGTAAAAGGTCATTTTCCCACATCTCAAGGTCTGATGTTAATCTGGGACAAATACAGTTCGAGAATTTTTTTATGGAGAGGGCACTGCTGTGGGTGGAAGAGAGATGGGGCAGTTCCCTTTGACTCAGATGTGACTCAGCTCAGGTCACATCTCTTGGCCTTAAATCTCAGAGAGAATCATATGTGTGTGATTTTACACGTTGAACTTTCTTTTTTTAAATCATTTTAGAAAGCACAAGAAGGAAACGTGCAGCCCACCATGGGCTAAAAGGCCAGTAGACACTGTTGCTTTCTGTATGCCCCTGGTTCCTTTCGTGTCTCATAAATAAAAGTTTTCTAAAAAAATATTGAAATTATCCTTGCCCTAAATTAGGAAAGCAGCTTTGCTTTAATTTCCTTCCCTGCAAGTTGGCAACTGGGTAAAAGAAAATATTTTGACTTCCAGAGATGCTATTGTCCCTCATCCAGCCTCCCTCCTAGCCTTGGGTTATGGGCATTCTGTAGGGCATCCTATCTGGCCAGTTCCTGGTCAGACCTGATCTGTTTCTCCTCGACAGGGGCCCCTGGTTCTCGGCCGTCAGAGCCTGCAGTGGGGAAGCCTTACTGCCTGTAGGAAGTCTAAACTCCAGTCACATCTTTCAGCTCCATCCTTAGCCTCCAAGATAGGAATGTGGTTTCCTTGATGACGGTCTGCTGAGCTGTCCTGTACACAAGAAAATTTGTTTTTTTCATCATCCTGAGATTTGTTTCCAAAGCCTGGTTGTGATGATTAAGAAGAAATCTGTACCTTGGAGAGATGGGGGAAGAAAATTCAGTGATACAAATCTGTCAACCCCACCAGCTCATTCATTTAGTCATTCAGTAAGCAAAGCTTCTTTGAGTTTCCAACCTGTGCCCAGCAAATGTGCTAGGCACTTGGGGTATAGAAGTGAAAAATACAGATGGCTTTTTGCATTCAGATAGTTAATAGTCTAAGAGGCAACACAGACATCTCTCTGTCTCTCTGTTGCTTTTTCTTACTCTTTTTTTAACAGCTTTATTGAGGTATAACTTACATAGCAAAAAATCCACTCACTTTAAGTGTACAATTCAATAATTTTTAGTAAATTTACAGAATTATGCAACCATCATCACAATTCAATTTTAGAACATTTACGTCATCCCAGTAACATCCCTCGTTCTCATTAGTAGTCACTCCCCTTTTTCCGCCCCAGACTCTGGCAACCACTAATATACTTTGTATCTAAAGTTTTGCCTATTCTGGATATTTTATATAAATGTAATCATACAACACATGATCTTTTTTGTCTGGGTCCTTCTTCCGCTTTCCATAAGTTTTGAGGTTCATCATGTTGTAACATGTATTAGTACTTCATTCCTTTTTATTGCTGAGTAGAATTCTATTGTATGGATACACCATACTTTGTTTATCCATTCACCAGTTGATGGACATTTGGATTGTTTC